AAAATGAAGTGACCGTTCATGACCCAAAATCTGGAGTTACAAGACTCCAAATTATACTCTGTCAATTTTCACTTGGAAATCAAGATGTGAAGAACACTCAGTTCATATTTGAGCTCGATCCGACAAAAGATGAAATGGAATCAATATTTGAAGTCGATTGCTCAAGTTGATTTTCCTGCAAAAGAATTTACACACCCTCTCTCCTTTTTTGTGTTGAAATTGGTTGTTGTCTCTCAATCTCTCTAACCCCCAAATTAGACCTAAAAGGTCTTTAATAGCTTATTTGGATGATTGTTACCTATTTTATTGTATCGTATTATTACTTCAAAAATAACAATTATTTTGTTTTTTGCCTAAATTTTATTGTATCTATCGTAAATTCGTTGTTACATAACGACAAAAAGTACCACTTGATAGAACGGCCGATTTGGTGTGATCACGTCGTTACCTCTTTTTTCTCATCTTGCTCTTTCTTATTATTAAATAATTAATACGATCCTAGATAGTCCGAGCAAAGTGGAGAATATTGAAGATGACCCTGAATTATTTAGTGGACCGTTGACTCGCTTCAAGTCCAAGAACGCCCGAGGGAAGCACGCTTAAGGAGTTGCATAATCTTCAACATTTGAGTAGAAGATGTTTGGAGAGTCACTTGGAGGATTCATGCAAAGAATACCATGATTGGAGTCTTGAGAATTGAAGACTCAAGACCCAAGTCAAACCGTGTGACATGGTTTCACCAACTGTTGGCTACGATTCAAGAGGGGCTTGAATAGCTGAAGGAAATAAGCTTCTAGAATTCGACACAGTTTAGCTGTGTGTTACGATTGTGGTTATAGTTGAGGTTACGGTTTGGCCTGGCGAGTTTTAAAAAAACTAACTTTAAAACTTTTCCTGTTTATCTATTGGGTATTTATAATAGCCTAGGATTATTTCATTAGCCACTTAGCATATTTTGACATAAGAAACCTCTTGTGAGAGATTTGGAATCTCTTGGTTTGATTTCGACTTTGGATTACCTGTTTTCAAGAATTTGATTCTTGAGTGTAATCTTTTTCTCCTTTTCTTATATCTAGGGTTTCTAATTTGTCGTTCTTGGGAGGTAGTCAGATAGTTTTTCAATTGTTGTTTGAGACGTTCACTTAGGGTTCTAGAATTTCTTCTATATCTCATTATTCAGACTACTTTTGATTATCTTAATCAAACTTATCATTAGTTTTGCTTTAATTATTGTTAATTTCATATTCCGTTGTTATATTTATCTCAGATCGTATCAGTTGGTATCAAAATCAAGGCTCAGGTATTGTTCTAACAAACCTACAATCCCTAGTCCTGAAATCAAGATCTGAATTATTAAGAAAAAGGCAAAAACAAAAGTAAAGTTCTTATTTTCAATTAAACCCTAGTCGAGTTGCTTACAAAAAACAAACACACAAAAATTGTTCATGAGTTTCAAAAAAATCAGAAGAAAAAAAATTAATGAAGTGTTTCTTGTTGATTGTTGGGGAAGATTACTTTTAGGTAAGAAAGATTCATTGGAGATTCTTGTTAAGGACAAACTAGTGTTAGTTATTCGTTCGTGCTTTTCTCGTTATTTTCGTAGAAATTTCTTGGCTCATGTCCTTAGTTTTTAAAAGTTCGTTCTTGATTACATAAACTCCACTCTTAAATTAATTTCAAGAAAACTCATTCTAGGATAGGTGATTTATGAGTTGAACTAAAACTTTAAGGATTTCCCAGGAGTGAGGCAGAGATTATATACAAGTGAAACGTGAGAATTCATAATTGTGAGAGAATGTCTAGCGTTGAGGATAGTACCAGTGGCACTAAGACACCAGCTCAAGCTGAAGAAACTAATGAAATGTTGCAAGCTATGATGCAACAGATACAGCATCTGACTTTGCAAGTAGAAAACTTGCATAAGGCTAATCAGACAATACCAGTAGCTTCGGCACCCACGGTAGGGGTGTCAATGGATATTCGAAAACCGACTAAACCGACCGAACCGTACCGTATCGAACCGATTTTTAGGTTTCTTTTTAAGAAACCGTAGGTTTTATATAAATTTATAACCACACCGATAATTAGGATAGGAATTTTATTTTATAAAAATAAATCGAAAAAATACCGAACCGTACCGAATAAATTTTACATGTGGAAAATATATTTATCTAGTAAGTTTAAAAATAATAATGCATCAAATTTTTCTTTGTGCCTTGGAATTATGAAAACTATTACAAGCCAACAAGTAATTAAATTTAAAATACTAATTGCTAAAACCTATTATGCTACTTCTACTTAAACTAAGTTATTTCAAGTATTTTTATTAGCAAGACACAAAGTATTCTAGCGATTATGAGTAGCAAACTACATGTATTGAATATGTTTCCTTTCATATAATTTAGATTTATCTTTTTGAATATTTCATCTTCTATAGACTTCATTCTTGAGTCCCAGCTTGGTTAATATCTTTCAACTCGTGTGATTTATTGCCTTTATTTCATTTCTTTTACGTTGTTGTAAAATAGTTGATGGATCTATACTCTAGCCATCTTTTTTTTTTAATTTATCACCCTTTAAACAGTAAAAATGTCTAGAGAGTTTTGCTAAGTCCTATAAAAGAACGTATGTTATTGCATCCTATTTCTACTGGTGAATTTTACATGATATTTAAAAAAATACCGAAAATTAACCGAACCGTACCGATACCGAAGAAAAACCAACATGATTGGGACGGTTTCGAAAAGTCTAATTTTGGTTATACATAATAGAATAACCGAAAAATTGGTATGGTATAAATTTTATAAAATAACCGGCCGAACCGAACAATTGACACCCCTAACCCACAGTACATCAAGGTCCACCTCAAGATGTGAGGAGGGATCCACCACAAGTTAGGGTACCTCCCCAATATGGCACATAAAGAATTTGGAGATTAAGATTTTGATGACTAAATTGATTATGGTCATCAAGGCATGAGAGGGGGTTGGAGAGCATCTAGGCATAGCAAAGAATTTGGGATGCGACAATGGAATCAGCACAACCGAGATGAAGAAGTTGATAGAAACTTGGGTAGCATTAAGATGAAACTCCTTTCCTTTGAGGGAACAACTGACGCAGATGCATACTTAGAGTGGGAAGCAAAGGTCGAAAGAATTTATAAAGTTCCTAACTACTCTAAGGAGAAGAAAGTTCAAATAGCGGTGACTGAATTCAAGGGATATGCTTGAAATAACTGAGCTTGATCGTAGAAGGCTTGGTGGCAGACCAATTAAGATTTGGGAAGACTTGTAGAGAGCAATGAGGGGTAGATTTGTACCTTCACATTACCATTGAGAGATTATCAAGAAGTTGAACATCTTGGTGCAAGGTCATATAAGTGTTGAAGAGTATTACAATACCATGTAGGTGCGTAGGATGAAGGCCAACCTAGATGAGTTCGAGGAAACCATTATGACTCGATTTCACACTGGGCTGAACAAGGACATTACTAATCAGGTTGAACTTTCTCGAGATTGTCATTCTGTAGTAGAGATGTTGCACTTGGCTACTAAGGTAGAGAGGATACTTAGGGATTAAAACAAGTCATCTTATGATAGTTTGAACAGAGATAGAACTACTAGGAGATCTTCTTGGAGTAAGAATAAAGAGGTAAAAACTAAACTCAAGCCATCTCAATCAGCTAAAAAGAGTAAAGAGATGGAGGTTAAAGAGGGAGGGAACACTACTCAACCTAACCTTACAGAAATTCGAGTTCTATTATGTGTCATAGATGTCAGAGGAGAGGACATATGCAATATGAATGTCCTAACCGACGAGCTATTTTGATTAAGGAGAATGGAGAATATGAATCTGATGATGGTGTGGAAGAATCTGATAGAGAGGGATCCAAAAATTGTTTTACTAGTTGTGAGGAGGAAGAGCCCATGAGCGCATAGTTAGTTGTTAGGAGATTAATGCAGGTTCTATTGAAAGAGGGTGATTTTGACCAAAGGAAAAGTTTATTCCATGCTAGATGTAACATTGGTCGAAGAATTTATTCCGTGATTGTGGATAGTGGAAGTTGCAATAATATGGTGAGTGTGTCTCTTGTTGAGCAGATAGGTCTTAGGACCATGAAGCATCCTCGTCCCTACAAGCTTTAATGATTGAATGATAGTGGGGAATTGAAAGTGAACAAGCAGGTTCTTCTTTGCTTCAAAATTAGGAAGTATATGGATGGAAGTTTATGTGATGTTGTACCTATGCAGTCTTGCCATCGATTACTTGGGAGACCATGGCAATATAATAGGAATGCGCTATATGAAGGGAGGAGTAATAGCTATACTCTTGAGCTGAATGCTAAAAAGTATCTCTTGAAGGCCTTGACTCCATTTCAAGTGTGAAGATCATAAAAGAATTAAACAATTGGATGGGGAGAAGGTCAGATAGGAAAGAAGAGAGAATGGGCGTAGAGGTAAAATTTCATTGAGATTGAGGAAAGTGAGGAAGAGAAATAATCAGAGGGTAACCGAAAGAGGAAGAATGAAAAGAAATCGAGTGATGGTGAGAGGAAATAGGTGAAAGGAAGAGATTTGAACCTTTTTGTAAAAGACAAGGAGTGTGAAAAGACCCTTAGTGAAGGAATATCACTTTTACTATGTGTGTATAAAGGAGTTTGTTTGAACACTAATGAACTCTCTAACTCTTTTTCTAGAAATTTTATCTCTTTACTGCAGGAATATAATAATGTCTTTCCTGAGGAGCTACCTGAAGGATTGCCACCACTTAGAGGGATTGAACACCAAATTGACTTTGTATCAGGATCTTAGATTCTGGATAAACCGGCTTATAAGAGCAACCTAGAGGAGGCTAAGGAGCTTCAAAAGTAAGTAGAGGAGTTTCTAAATAAGGGGTTCATGAGAGAGAGAATGAGTCCTTGTGATGTACCAGTCATTTTAGTACCAAAGAAGGATGGGTCTTGGCATATGTGTGTTGACTATAGAGCTATCAACAAAATCATGGTAAAGTATCATTATCCCATTCCTGATTGGATGATATATTGGATGAGTTACATGGTGCAAAGAAAAATTGATTTGCAAAGTGGATATCATCATATTAGGATGAATCCTGGTGATGAATGGAAAACAAGTATTAAAACTAAAAATAGTTTGTATGAATGGTTAGTTATGTCTTTTGGGTTAACTAATGCACTAAATTTATGCACTTGATGGATCATGTTTTAAAGTCATTTAGAGGTAAAATTTTTGTTGCCTATTTTTATAAATACTTATTTACATTCATTCTTTAGATGATCTTTTGCATGTTAAAAGTGTACTTGATGTACTTAGGAAAGAGGAACTCTTTGCAAATCCTAAGAAGTGTGACTTTTCTGTTGATAGGGTGATTTTCTTGGGGTTTGTTGTGAGCAGGAAGGGCATAGAGGTTGATGAAACGAAAGTGAAAGCCATTAGAGAGTGGTTTATTCCGAAGAGTATGTTAGAGTTTTGGAGTTTTCATGGTCTCGCTAGTTTCTATAGGAGATTTGTTAAGGGTTTAGTACCATACATGCTCCTTTGACTGCAGTAATTAGGAAGAATAAGGGATTTAAATGATGTAAGGATCAAGAGGAGGCTTTTGAATAATTGAAGAAGATGCTTAATTCAGCCCCTTTTCTAAAACTACCCAATTTTAGAATTTTAGGTTGAATGTGATGCTTCTTGGGTTGGCATAGGTGTAGTTCTTATGGAAGACCAAAAACCTATAGCTTACTTTAGTGAAAAATTGAGTAGAGAAACCTTAAATTATTCTACTTATGATAAAGAGTTGTATGCCCTTGTAAGAGGTTTAGCCAATTGGCAGCATCATTTGTGGCCTAAGGAATTTGTGACTAGGACTAACCATGAGTGTCTCGGATTTCTAAAGAGTCGGTCTAAGTTAAACAGAAGACATACTAAGTGGGTAAAGTTTATCGAGACATTTTCATATGTTATCCACTATAAGCAAGGCAAAGATAATGTTGTGGCTGATGCACTTTCTAGACGATATGTTCTGGTCAATGTGTTAACTGCTAATTTGATGGGATTCGAGCATATTAAAGATTTATATGAAAGTGATCCAGATTTTAATAGTAAGTACAAGGAGTGTGAGTTGGTTGTGTTTGAGGGATTCCTTATGGATGATGGTTATTTATTTAGGAATGGAAAATTCTATGTCCTTAGATGTTATTTGAGGGAATTGTTTGTTAGAGAGGCACATAGTGGTGGATTGATGGGGCATTTTGGAGTTTCTAAGATGGAACATTTTATTCCTTGTGACAAGAAATATGATGCGTCTTACGTAGCTATATTATTTGAGAGAGAGGTTTTGAGGTTACAGTGGGTGCCTAGGTCCAATGTTAATGATAGGGATACCAATTTTGGAGAACTTTGTGGTCTAAGTTGGGAACTCAGTTATTATATTCTACTACTTGTCATCCCCAAATTGATCGTCAGACTGAGGTAGTCAATAGGACTTTGGGTAGTATGTTGCGAGCTACACTTAGGGGTAAGTACACTTCTTAGGAGGAGTGTTTACCATTGATTGAGGTTGCTTATAATAGATCCGTTCACTCTTCCATGGATAAGTCTACTTTTGAGGTTGTATATGGCTTTAATTCTCTAACACTTTTGGATTTAATTCATTTGCCTATGAGTGATGTTGTGAATGTAGATGGTAAGAATAGGGATGAAGCATTAAAGAGGGTTCATGAGAAAGTGCGTTTACAATTGGACAAGACAAGATTTCCAATAGAGTTAACAAAGGAATAAAACAAGTTATTTTCAAACATGGTGGTTAGGTTTGGGTTCACTTGAGGAAGGAACAGTTTCCTAATAAATGCAATTCTAAGTTGCATCCTCGTGGAGATGGACCATACCAAGTTCTTGAGAAGATTAACGACAATGCGTACAAATTGGATCTCCTATGTGAGTTTAAGGTGACTGTGACATTTAAGGTTTCTGACTTATCTCCTCTTGGTACAAATATGTTGGATTCTAGGACGAATCATTTTCAATAGGGAGGGATTGATACGATCCTAGATAGCCCGGGCAAAGCAGAGAATATTGAATATGACCCCGAATTATCTAGTGGACTATTGGCTCATTCCAAGTCCAAGAGCGCCCGAGGGATGCACACTGAGGAGCTGCATAACCTTCAACAATTGATTAGAAGATGTCTGGAGAGTCACTTGGAGGATTCATGCAAAGAATATCATGTTTGGAGTCTTGAGGATTGAAGAATCAAGACTCAAAGACAAACCATGTGACACGGTTTAACCAACTATTGGCTACGGTTCAAGAGGGGCCTGAAGAGCTAATGAAAATAAGCTTCTGAAATTGACACGATTCAGCTGTATTTTACGGTTGAGGTTACGGTTTGGCCTGGTGAGTTTTGTTTTGAAAAATTAACTTTGAAACTTTTCCTATTTTACCCATTGGGTATTTATAGTAGCCTAGGGTTATTTCATTAGCCACTTAGCGTATTTTGACATAAAAAACTCTTGAGAGAGATTTGGAACCTCTTGGTTTGAGTTCGACTTTGGATTACTTGCTTTCAAGAATTGGGTTCTTAAGGGTAATCTTCTTCTCCTTTCTTTATATCTAGGGTTTCTAATTTGTCGTTCTTGGGAGGCGATAGGATAGTTTTTCGCTTTTTGCTTGAGATGTTCATTTAAGGTTCTAGATTTTCTTCTATATCTCACTATTCAGACTACTTTTGATTATCTTAATCAAAACTTATCATTAATTTTGCTTTAATTATTGTTATTTTCATATTCCATTATTTTATTTATCTCGGATCCTATTAATAACCCTATTTTATCATTTACCTTACCTTTTTATATAATAATTCTACCTCGTACCTTAATTTTTTATAATATTACAAGTTTATTCTCCATAATATTGGTGCATGACATCATGAAACGACGGCAAACAATACAATTTATTCAACCATTGTATACATTAAAGTAATATAGTACAATACAATACTATTCTATACGATACATTATGAAACAATACATAACAACCATCCAAACAAGTTGTTAATGTATGGGCCAGAAGTAAAAGTGGGCTGGTCCAAAATGGGTGGAAAAAAGTATCTCAAAATCCAACTGGAGATAGCCAAGACATGGATTTTTCTTTTTTTTTGGGTATTTTTTTCAAAATAAATTTTTGAAAACAACAAGTTTATGAAAAAAAAATGGAAGAAAAAAATTTCAAGTTCCAAAAACTTGTTTGGGCCAATTTTTGGATGAAAATTTCTCTTCTTCTCAAAAACGTCAATATTTTTTTAAGTAAAATGCATGTCGAAATACAACTTCAACTTCCAAAAATTAGTTTTCAGCACAATTTTAAAAACTTATTTTTTTAGCGCTAGTTTAATTGTAGTTTGTAGTAAAAATCTCTTCTCAAATTTGGACTATTGTGCAAGCTCCAAATAGGCCATAACGAGGTAGAGGCGTCAGCCCACTAATATCTACAGGCATTAAGAGAACTAATTGAGACTAAATGGACTAAGGCCCACAATAATAAAAAACTTGACGGATTCTGTCAGTTTGAGCCAGAATGGACAGGACTAAAAATTAAAATGGATCTGCTTATAGTTCAATTAACGTTAACAAGTCTGAAGTAACCTTAGAACATGGGTCAAGTGTCATCTTAGTGTACCTAATTTAAGATTATGCTGAACTTCTTTAGGTTTCAAAGTTGGTATATATAGTCTTGGAAATTTCTGTGGTCCGACTTATCAAAGCCTTTGTTTACAGTGTGATTTACTTGAAGCTAGAAGGCGTGTACACATACTCTCTTACTACCAAATCAGAGTAAACATGTCCTGCTGTCAATTATATATTTTAATAACTCCATGCCTGCTCATGGACTAGTGTTGTAAAAAGAGGTTAGGTTTGATTTATTATCACCCTCTTGCCCTTGATATATATATATATAGGAAACAGTTGCAAGAATGGAGCACGTGAAAATGTTTTACATTAGCACGAAACTATATATCTTCACCTAGTAACACTTGCCTAATACGTAGTGTATGATACTGGCAACACACAATAACACCATGTGCTATTGGATTTTGAGCTTAAAAAGGAAAAGGGGAAAAAGATATGCCAGTTGCTTTATGTTTACCCTTAAATTTGGATAACAATTGAATTTATACGCGGTTTAAGGATACGTGATATAACTTGATACAAATTAAGAAGACAGATTAATATTGAAATTAACGATAATGAAATAAATGCAAACCACAAAATTGAACAGCTTTAGTCTCTGAGTTTGATCACCCTCGAGGCAAGAAAAATGTCAACAAGTGTTAGAACTAAACAACAAGATGATGAAACTAGAAATGATCAGTGTATTGCTTTCTTTGCGTGTTACAATGTCCTACAAATGATCATAACCCCCCTTGGGTGTTCTACTTTTGGTATAATTCTATACAAGGTAAAAAATCTCATGATTCGCTAATTAATCGGCCTATTCTTGATACATGCCGAGATTTCCGCCGTGATCCTCGGCCGATTACGGATATTTCGGTTTTCCGTTACTTGGCTCGGTAAGTGTCCCTCGATCTTGCTCGGTCTCGATCTTGTTCGGCCTCGATCTTGCTCGGTCTCTGGGTCACCAGCTCGACGGTCTAATTTCGCAACTTGGTTCGATATAACCCGAGCTCGAGCTTTAACCTATCATGTTTCAGCCTAGATTGGCCTAGCAATGGACGAACCTAGTTTGGACCGTATACACTTTAAAATTTGTAGACCTCAGAAACTGAATCATGTTATATATTTCTGTCTTTTTTGGGTATTAACTTGAATAGTTCTGATGTGACTAGCAGAATTGCTTCACATTCTCAGGGCATTTGTAAGTGTGAAACTTACTAGAGCTATATGGATAACATTAATTTACATGTTCTATCATTGATGAAGATGCTGCAATACACAAAATGTTGCGCACTGGTCCTTCTATATATTCATTTCTATTTTTGCTTGTGTAGACCCTAGTCGAAAATGGCATATATAGCTGTGGAATTTTGATTATGGTTAAAGACTATGCTAATAAAATATTAGTAATTACATGTGAATAGAAAAACTCAGATTTGAAAGAATGATTTAAGTTGAGGGGGAGGTTTTGCCTGGTATTTTCTTGAGCATGTGCATCATATGTTGAACTCACATGTTATACTGTGCAGGGTTGGAGCTGGCCCTCATTTTCCGGATCGTAGTTAAGGTTTTAACATTTATATTTATAGTATAAAAATGTAAAACAGTTGAGCAAAGCAAAAATACCTTGGCATCTTCAAACTAATAAACAAGTCTGGAATAGGAAAATTTCATAATTCCTGCAAATATTGAAAGAAGGACCAAGAAAAGCAATATGGTATTAAAAACTTACAAGGCACAGGTTGCATGTGGCTTTTGCGTTGATCAAGGGGTCTTTTGACATTGATTTTATTTCATAATCAGGACTATTTCCAGTTATGGAATCCAACGTCGTCCGTACAAGCATCTCAAATAAACTAAAACCAAAATTGCGTAAGATCTCCAGTTAAGATGAAGTGCACAATGATTGATGAATTAATGGAATATATTTTCTTGAAGATTTGCCAGTTCAACTTTATTAAGTAATTCATGCCAACTGCCAATCACATGACAGCTTATTTTCATACGCGTCAGATCAGATAAAAAGAAAGAAAGAAAGAATGTTCGTCGTATTAAAATCGGAATTCCTCGAGGGCGTTACCGAGAATCCGAGTGAGGCAGATATGCATTAATTCTTTATTTTGGCACTAAATATGCATCCTATTTTGGTTACGTTTCTTTATTTTGGGGTAAACACATAGAGTGTGAGTAATTATTTACCGGGGAATCATCTTTACCTACTAACCTTTTCCAGGCAAATAAACACAAATGCGGTTACCTTTTAACATCCACACATGGGCAATTTTACTTGCAGCTAAAAAAAATGAAAAAGTAGAAAGAAACAAAGTTAGGAAAGATACTATGGACAGTTGGACATGAAGAATGTAGTGTATATTTGTCTGACTAATAGCATAATCAGCATATTCCTTACAAGTGTTTGTCAAGCCCAAAAAATATGATAAAGAGGCACCCGCATTTGAGTCCGACTATATTGGGATTCACGCCGTCTAGGGCCCCATTCGAGGGGAAGCATTCCCTACCAAGGATTTTTCCATACCCAAGGCTCAAACCCGAGACCTCTGGTTAAGGGAGGAGCAATCTCATCCAGTGCATCACATCCTTTGGTGGTTCTTCTGCAATTGATATTATGTAATGCTTCCTACTTCCTCCGTTCTAATTTATATTATATAATTGGAATTACTAGAATTAAAATTTGTAATTTTGACTGCAAAATGGGATATATAATCATTAAGTTTCTAAAAATAAAATTAAGTGCCATAAATCATACTCTCTCCGTTTTAATTTATGTGAACTTGTTTGACTGGGTATGGAGTTTAAGAAAAAATGAAGACTTTTAGAATTTGTGGTCATATACAAGTCAAAAAGGGTGCAGAGTATTTGTGTGGTTATAAAAGCTTCTCATTAAGGATAGAATTGGAAGTTTAACATAAATTGTTTCCAAATTTAGAAATGGATCATTTTTTTTGGAGTGGACCCAAAAAGAAATAGGTTTACATAAATTGAAACAAAAGGAGCAATAGTTAACAATTCAAAATATTTTATTTTTTTTAAAAACATATAAAAAAAATCACAAGCAATTCTCAAAATCTGATGATTGAATCACTTAATTGGGACAGAGGAAGAAGTCTTTTGCTCCGTCAGCAGTAACATACATTCTCTTCTTGTCCTGTAAAGAACAGAGGCAGTGACTGAGGTCACAGTGGATGCGGGTTTCCCCTTACCATTAAAATAATAATACTAATGCTCGTGATGTTAGAATACACATAAATAGAAGGAAAAGGAGAATGCAATTGAAACAGATTACATAAATAAAGACACAAATATAGCAAATTGAGAGTAGCTGGGCGGCGTGAGGTGAGCACTTTATATATGGTGAGCATTTTGTGCGCACTGAAGTAAATTGTACTAGGCAAGCCATGTGCGACAGGTTCAACCTCAGAAAGCATTAAGGGGAGATTCGATCTCAGGTTATCCATATGGACGATCACCCTCCAAACCAACTGAGCAACCCGAAAGGTTAGCATTAGTATTATTATTTCACCTTTCGCTTCCCAATGCACACTGTTCAGTGGCAA